TATTGGGTTCAGGTTGGCGGCTCAGGGCGAAGGGTTTAGCACATCCCGGGGGGGGGGGGGGCGTGTAGTGAGAGCTGAGCCCGGTTGAACCCGGCTTCGCAACCTGGCAGGCGCTCAAGGCGAAGCCAAGGCCTTGTAACCACGCATCACCATGGTGTTCATGATTACCATGACCATCATCATCAAAATCAAATTCATCATCACCTTCTTCGTTTTGTTTGTTATTGAAGTATTGTGATTTTGATCACTATAGCCAGTATACTAGTTATTCATGACAGCCCTGCTTCTGATGACCCTTATCTTGTGGTGGCGGTGGAGGTGGTGGGGGTGGTGGGGGTGGTGGGGGTGGTGGGGGTGGTGGGGGTGGTGGCGGTGGTGGCGGTGGAAGTATGGGTGGCGGTAGTGACAGTGTGCATTGGTGTTCTTATCAAGTTACCGTCTCGTTGTCGATGCTGTTACTCTCAGGTGGTTCGGTCGCACAGGCATGAATGTTTGACAAAGCTTTGCTACCGGGCATCTATAAACCAAGCATGGGTGCTCGGCACGATGATTCTAGCGCCATACCTGTCTTCAAGCACAGATGAGGCACTGTCTGCCCATCGAAGGCCGGGTCCTCCCACCTTTGCTGTTTTTTGGAAGTTTGACACAGAGTTGAGGGTCCAAGTTCAAGGAGAGACAAACTCTATGCCACTGCAGTTTTTGACATGCCACTGAAGCGTCGGGACTGCCCTGACAGGACTCTTGAGAGCAACGGTTAGTGACCTATGTGGCCTGTCGGGAATGCGACCGACACGGCCCGCTGTCTGGGTCAGACGGGGGAGTCCCTTAGTTTGTCACTGTATACCTAGTACTGGACTCCTGTTCTAAGGACCAAGTCGCGGTGGAGGTGCTGCCATCAAATGTCACCTCTGCTGCAGGGATCGATGCCGTATCCTCGATTCGTCCTCAGTCTTCAGGCGAGACAGACGTCAAGATTTCGGGTCATGTCCCCGCCACCGAGCTCTCAAGATCCTTAACCAGCTGAGCCACCACTAAGCAAGTACGACATACTTGTGCCGCAGGCATTTGGACCCGAGACATTGCGCGTCAGGACCCGGCATACAACTGCAATGTGGCTGAGCTCGTTCCTACTTGTGATGGGGATGCTAACGCTGGTGATGAGGCTGATGTGTCTGTTGATGATGGCTTTTACTACTGTCGTTGCCATTATCGCCATTGCGGCAGTATTGATCTCGCGATCCGCTGCCTACGAGTTGTGAGTGGCTGCTGCAAGCACAGGAACGCTACTGGCCTGTAGAACTTTCTAGCAGATTTCGATCCAAATCGCAGGTCAGTGGTTCGCTTGTCGTCAGGCAGCCTGGAGAATGAGCCTGCTGCCAATGTACAAGGCTTGAGCCTGTCAGTGCATCAAACAAAATGCCATCACACAAATTGTTAATAAAGCCAATCTCATCACACACGACTGTGTGAGATGCCTATGGCCAGTCCTGTTCCGGGAATCCCGAATCTGCCAAGTGTTCCACCAACACATCCGACGCTGCAGACGGTGAGAAACCCTCAGTGGCAATCTTGGCAATCCAGTAACACCAGCAATCCTAGTGGCAGCAAGAAGAATGCAGAAATATTTCAGAAGAGAAAACTCCTCTCAAACCGCGCAGAACTGCAGTAAGAACATAGCCATCTACAGCGTCACACTGAAACACCCTACTAACATTCACACGAGGAACCAGTGGGTGTGGTCGGACGAATGATCCAAACGATGCGGGCCGGGCCAGGGAAAGGCACAAAGGAGGAGGGTGCGAGAGTGTTCTGCAGAAACAGTCTGCGAATTTGCAGTAGCTGGTTGTGAAGTCCAGTGCACGGAGGTACTACAGACAAAAATATATCTATACAGGGGATACTCAGGAATCCCACTGCAAGCAACTTCTCCCTACCCCGATATTGTGCTTTCGTAGTGCGGTGCGAAAGCGGGATTACAAGCTTCTATACAGACGGCTGAAGGTCTACACTGGAAGTTGTAGGAAGCCCTCCAACAAGCTATTGAGCAGCTGCTGCACAATGATGGGGCTTAAGAGGGATCATGATGCTATCTACTCGCTCCTTGTTGTTCACACCGCCACCAAAGCCCTTAAAAGGATTGACAATACTGGCTGACTGGAAACAAGCGATATGATATTTCCCTTCCGCCCGGTGGGGTGTTCCACGCCGTGACACGCCTCTGCCCGTGGTGGAGCTGAAGAGACAGCCAGAATTTATTCTGACCAAAAGATTCCAGGCCAGATGTGGCAGCTGACTTCACACAGGTCTTGCAGAATGCCACATGACAATAGATCCTGGTGTCCAGGATTGCTGCAATACTCTGAACCTTATAGATCCCTTTGTGTTCAAAGGCCTGCATCCGGCCAGGTCGCAGAGGCCAAATGAAAGCTGGATCTCAGAGCTTGGCTGCGCTTCACTTTCAGGCGAGCGCTCATCAAGTGATGAAACAAACCTCGGTGTGCAAAAACACTATCCCCCCAAATGTCTAGCCAGACCGGCAGCTTCAGCTCGTTCGCTCTTGTTTTCTGTGCAACACCAAGCATGTTCGCATCTAAGCTGTCCCCTCCCAGTGCCTCCCAAGCGGAGGCGCTGTCAAGCTGTGCAGAAGCTCGAATGTGACGTCACGGAAGTGCCGGACATGGGCACACATAAACTTTCAAACAACCACCTTCGCGACTTCTGGCTCCGCCTTCGCGACTTGTGAAACTGCCTTCGGGCTGCGTGGGCTCACCTTCGTCACACCGCGGACAATGGTCTTCTTGTCTACTCCACCTGAGCTCTAGATCCAGCCTTAACGCAAACCTTCCCTTCGCGAAAGTACTGAAGACACCCAAGCTACTGCCTGAAATCGTAATGCACTTGCCGTAGGCCGAGATGCCATGGGAGTATCTGGTGACATACATGGCATCGTGCTGGATGACGACGTCCATGAAGCCATACCCATCATCCTCCCCTGTTTTGCTAGGCAGAATTTCAGAGGTGATGCCTCCGCCACCTCCTGAAATCACAAATGCAGTCTCCCCAAAGGTCGTGTTGGTGTGCTGCAAGTGGGTGTGGCCGCTGACGTAGAAGTCGACGCCATATTCGACCTCGGAACGCAGTCGGATGCAAAGCAGCACATTCTAGACGAAAGCTCACCCACGCCTCGTAAGCCTGAAAGCTTCTGCAGGCCTAGCCAGAACCCTAAAAATCTGATCCCTGAAGCCCTAAACGGCACGTTCTTCACACCCCAGGCACTGCACCCCAATTTGTTGAACCTAAAACCTCCCACACCACTGAACCTTAAACACCTAAACCCTAAACTCCTAAACCCCAAAACCCCGAAACCTGCAAAGCCCCGAAGGCCCTGTCCTGTCAAGCAAGATGCGAGATAGCTCTCCCAGGTCGAACGGCAGGGCTCAAAGTTCGGCGGATAGTGAGTTACGATGATCCTGGGCAAAGGGCTATAGGGCCTAGGGTTTAGGGCTATAGGGTGTATAGGCTTAGGCTTTAAGGTTTGCGTCTTCTTAAATCTCGAGCTCTTCAGGCTTGCTTTCATTGATACGCTGCTTCAGGAAACCTTGTCGAAACCCTAAACTGGAAGGCTGGAAAATCACAAGCACACAACATGCTTCTGTCTTCTTTTGGTGGCATTGCCAGGAACGGATCTAAGGGAGAAACCACAAGTTTTTCGGGACAGACAAGATCGATGGAATGGAAGGCCTCTGAATTGGTGAAGGCAGCAACTGTTGCAAGCTTGATTTGGGGTGGTTGCCGCCATGATGAAGATTCAACCTCAAAGCCTTGCTTTTAGGTGTCCAGGGCACTGCCACTCAGCAGTAGATGCCTGAAGCTCCTTCGCAAGCCACTCCTTCTGGTCCTCGCATGGTGGCATTTTCGTCTTCCAAAGCAACACCAACACACAATGATGCTTCTCGGTGCGACTCGTGAAAACGCTCCCATTATCGCACAAGTGCAGAGCAGAGCCGATGAAACAGCCAAGCACAGGCCGAGTCTCCTTCCACAAGTCGTCAAAGAACTTCCAGCAGGTGTCTGGGCTCGTCATCGAGGTGCCGTTGCATCCCAGGGGCTGAGGTGGCTGGTTGTGGGATCGAGCACAAATATTGTGCTCCGGGTCGGCATCCGGATTGCCGTAAGTGTCTACCTTGTTGGTGTCCACGAAGAAGAACTCAGCCTTACTCATGAACATCTTTAGGAGACCAGGCAGACCAGGTGGGACCTGTGCCATCATACCTACGCATGTTTACACGCATACACATGCACAGGCATAGACATGTATGTAGATGTACAGTATACATATATATACACACACACATATATATATATATAGAGCACGCACACACACACACACCCACACACACACACACATTCCACGACATCCCCACACACTCAGATGCACACAGGTAAGTCTCATTGTCTGTAGTATATGTAGGGTTATGTGGGTGTATGTAGCTGCCAGCCTGACTGCCTGCCTACTTGCGTCCTGCCTGACTTCTTGCCTACCGGCCTGCCTGCCTGCCTGCCTGCCTGCCTATCTGCCAACCTGACTACCAGTCCACCTGCCAACCCTACCTACCTACCTACCTACCTACCTACCTAACTACCTACCTGGCTACCTAGCTGCAGACATGCATCCATCCATCCATGCATACATCCATCCATCCATCCATCCATCCATACATCCATCCATGCGTGCACGCACAAGTCAATATTAAAACTTGTGAGTGTGTACACACACATGCACAGTAGGTAGATACTGATATACATACAGATGTAGACGTAGACATAGATGGAGATACAGGCAGACATATGGATGTAGATGTAGATGTAGGTGAAGACACAGATATGGATATTAAACAGCAAAAATATGTACGTATATATATATATATTATAATATACATATAAACAGACAGATAGAAATGATGACACAGATACAGACAGAGGCTTCGATATGGACGTAGATACGGACTACTCTGTCCCCAAGGTCGCAACCCAAATGCCCGACGACCCCTTCACTCGCAGTTACGCATCCAAGCTTCGGAGAAGTTGCGAAATTGCGCTGTTCGCTTCCAGTACAAGGCGGGCGTGAGCCAGCGACTCTTGGGGGAGTTCCAGGTGTAGAAGATGTTCTGATCCCAATGGACATTGTAGTGATAGCCTCCATAGTCGTGATTGCCCAGCACGCCCCACCACTCCACGCCGTCCAAGCCAGGGCCCTGCAAGGTTGAAACGGGCAGAGCGCCACCCGGGTGCAAATGAACATGAAATCCGCAGCGAAGGGGATCTCTCCCGGCCTTGTACACGTTCTCGAAAACATTCGTGAAAATGATCTGCCCCGCCTTCGAGTCCAATGGATGCAAGAAATCAAGGGGCTAAACTCGCTGAAGCGAGATCTCCAGTTCCTTCCTCCACCGCCCCAGTGAAGCTTATGCCCCGTACGTATCAATGTTAAAAACTCTTCTGTGTTGGTACATGAAAACATGATGGACACTGCAACGAGAAGAAGTTGCCTCCACACACACTTGGACTGCACTGTCAATACTGATTACGGATTTGCAGAGTCAAGTGGCCGGATCTGTTTTGTCCGTCTCGGCATTGCAGGTGCCGGGGCTACTGATTCCTTAGCCCGACGCTTTTGCCGTAGCTCTGCTCGTCCTTACAGAGTCTACTACGAAGGAAAAAGCTGTGCCCGAACAGTCTAGATTCCACCAGGATAGAAGTTGTCGCCTGCAGGAGAGGGCCACTTTGCGGTATGATGCTTACTACTAGAAATTTTGTCATACTTGCTTGATATTGATACTAGTGCTGTTGGTACTGGCAACTATTTTGGAATGACAGGTGTTGAACCCGCGAATGGACTACGCTGATGTGGTGACTGTTGCAAAGCTGCTGACACTCTTGCCCTCAGGTCACCGACGTTGAGCACGAACTTCGGCTTCAAGTCAGCAGCGACTTCAGCCATCTTGTCCGCCACGTAGGTTTGAGCATGAGTGTCCTGGTTTCATCTTTGGATCCCTTTGTATACCCTGAAGTCCATGACGTCCTAAACACTCCAAGTCCGAGAAGCAATCACATTTCGGGCCTCTAGTCAAGAGTTCGTGGACCCCACCCCACTTCGAACACAACATGTCGGACATATTCGTATCAATGTGTGCTAGGCCAGGCACCCCGTATACCTGACAAAAAAGCCGGGAATCAATGGGATCGATGACCGTCGGCCGGTTCTTAAATGTGAGCGGTGGTCCGGAGCCACTAACGATGCCACCCCAGTCACCTGCACATCGGGGCTTCAGGGTATAGACTTGTGACAATGCCCTGCTAAATATTGCATGCCAAATCTACTGACAGCACAAACGCAGCTGTCGGGGGAGCGCCGTCCAGAAATAGAACACACTAAAGTACCTCACCAAGGCAAGAGGCCTATAATGAAGTAGCGCTGCTCCTCTGTTCCGTTGAAGCATGCCGCCGGCCACTCCTTGCCGTTGTAGTCCAGAGCATTCTTTGGCATCACCGGCCACGAGACGTTGCTGGGATCCGGACACTGAAAGGCACAGCTGCCGAAGTGCAGGGATCCGGTGTCCGAGCTGTTGGTGTCATTCAATTTGAGAAAAGCATAGGGCTCTTTGCAAGCGACGCACCCAACAGCGCTGCTGCACTTTTTGGCTTTGCCGATGCCTGACGAGAAGGAAGGAGGGGCAGGCGAATGCTTTGAGGATCGCAGTCTCAAAACTTCAGCCCCGTTGCACATGCATTTCGAGCATTGCCCTCTCTTCGTGGACTCATCGCAGGCCGTCTCCATTGGTCCGGACTTATCGCCTGTGCTCGGATCGTTACATCCACTGAGACTGAGGGCAAGGGCAAATAAGCCGCCCAGCAGGCATGGAAGTTGAACCTGAAGCGAAGAGGGGCACGACGTGGGCTGATAAAGGAGCAGGTCTGACTTGGGCCACCTGTTTCCTTTCATATCCTTTTCTGCTGTGGCGTTTCAAAACACGCACAGACAACCACACTTCGAGCCTGCATCTCGCTGCAACCGGTGCAGCGATGGCAAGTTGTGGCTTCGGAACAAATCAGCTGCGGCGGCTTCGGACCGTGTCATCAGATCCAACACCCCGGCGATCTTACCAGTGCCGTTCTGAACTAAGCGTGGGCATGGCACCCAAACAACGTGAAGCGGTTCAGTTTCGAGCTAGCGTCTGCTGGTCGCGGACATTGGCGGTGCGAGCGAAACACCACGAAACCCGTTGAGACGGGACACGATTCCTGTTGCAAGCTCATGATCGGCTGGTCTGAGTTTCCTGGTCTGCTCGAGGTTCTCGCGATACCAACATAGAGGGCTTTCAAGGGAACTGAGCCCCATTCTACAGCATCCCCAACTGAGTTGGAGGCTTTTTAATCAAAAGTGGCCACTTCGAAAAGGATCCTGGTACTCAGGGTCAAAACCAGGATCGCAGGTTGTCTGAGATTGTCAGTTGTTTTCGGACTCCGCAGCTGGAGCCTTTGGAAAGTTCGGGTCGCGGGTCTCGTGGTTCAGGGGTAATTAGCAAATTCTAAACGTCCCTAACGACGTAAAACCTAGCGCAATGCAAGATATAAACATATACATATATTATATATATATGTATATATACACATAATATATATATATAGATATATATATATATAATTATATACATATACATATATACTGGCCATAAACACCGCCCTGAGCCCAGCACACATCGAGGCCAGGCTCAGCATCGCAGGCGAAACTGCCCTGCGCCGTGAGCTGTAGGTTTCACTGCAAGATCTTGTAAAGGTAATTGGTGACAGAGGGTTTGGAATTGCCGGGTGTTCAAGAACTCATGAGAAACTTTCGCAATGACGAGGAGAATCGGACGGTGAGTGAGAGAGAGAGAGAGAGAGAGAGAGAGAGAGTGGGAGCGATGCAGGACATTTTTGACATGTCCACTCAAGTCCACTCGTGGGTCCTGAATTCCTGGGTCTGTTGCAGAGTCCCGTTCCCTCTGCAGATTGAGTGCTGTGGAATTGCGGTGAAGTAGGCGGGCGCGCTTGCTGCACAAGTGTATTGATGGAACTGTAGGAAGCAAACCCGAACACATCAGCAATTCTTACCCCATCCAGTCTTGCTCCCTGGCGCCTCCATCTCCCGCGATGACCCCAGACAAGGCATCTCAAACTGTAAGTGCGAACTGCACCAAAGGGCCAAAGCTGATGAAGGGCGTTAACAATTCGACCGGAGTTTTGAGGAAATGTTATATGATATGCGATAGATACAATGAGGAACTCCCAGCAATGGTACTAGCTGCTAGAATTATTAAGTCCCCTATATTCGCTTGCAGCCCCGTGCTTGCACATAGACTGAATGTTGTCGTTGACTATACAAGCAAACGAGAACATGCTTGACGATGTGGGACAATTCCCTGCGCCAGGCCATTGAACGCTCTGACGTGCTGACCTTGTCTTGCACTGGAGATCATCACCATCATCATCACTGCAATCAGCACAGTCATCATCATCATCATCATCACATCACCGATCACCTCTTCAACCATGCAGCAATAATTATGGCCAGCACCACCAACACTGGCTGCCATCCTCATACTCATGACCGTCGCCCTCTGCAGCATCAGCGTCATCGTTCTTGCATGGCAATGGTCTTCATGATGCTATTCGTCATCACCATCAACATCATGATTATCGTCATACTCGTTCTCACCATGACCAACACCATCACCGACATCATCAACATATTGTTCTTCTTCAGACTCCTCTTCTTCATTGCTTTCATCATCGTCACCACCAGCATCATCATAATCACCAGCACCATGATCATCATCATCATCGGTGTGGTCGTCTTCATCAGGACGACATCCCCACCACCATTCGCACGCTGCCATGACGACCGTCTGGTGATGTGATGATGATGGTGGTGATGACGACGACTGCGATCACAGCCTTCGTGCATGCTTACGATGACGACGAGGAGGTGATGCAGAGGAGGAGGAAGACTTAAAAGAAAAAGCACAGGTATGACAGCATGATGACGAAAGCATGGATATGGTTGCCCCGACAAATGTGTTCCGCTCATCATCAGTTGTGTCGTCAGCATTGTCAGTCCTGAGCATTCACCGGCAACGGCGGGCTAAATCTTTTGGGGCGACGCCTCATTGCTTAGCTTGCAGATGGATCTTGGGTCCTTCAGACCATGATGCCATCTAAAGACCACTGGAAACAAGCTAGGCTTTGTAGCAAACTGCTGTGCTGGAAGTTCCTGAACTTGTCTCGCACGTCTAACGAGCGCACTAGTGCTCTAAGCTGTCGGGCCAGCTTTCCTCTAAAGATGCACCTGAACTACTCGAACTGGGTTACAATCTACACCTGCAAGATTCTTGATAATCGCATGTGCCTCTTGATGACGTTTCCATAATTCACGCGCCGCAATTCACTTGCGACACTGTCGACTTTGCCAACCCTCGGCAAGAGGTACCGGAAATGAGACTCTATGCATTAGGAAACGGAAACTTCCCAGGGCTCGAAGCGCAGCCACAGTGGAAAAGGCTGCTGTAGGCATGCTTAGGCAAACCCGGGTCAGCTGCCACATCTAGAAAAGGGTGGTCTCAAAATCAGGACGCCCACTTTGATGCCGCGTACGTGCCTAACTGAAAGGCTCAGGTACCAGTTTTCACAGGCAAGCCATGCAGGATGGCCGTATAGGCGGTATCAGCATGGGTTTAAGATTAAATGTTGACAGGAACTCCAGTGACGGGTAATTGTAATTGTAATTGTTCAATTATGTCTATTTCGGACCTGTAGTATCTAAGTTCTACTCGGAACGTGCGGCCCCAGGATTACCCAAGCCTCGCGGCTCTGCAAGTCCAGTGCGGCAACACGCGGCACTGCGCATCTTTGCCGCATGCATCTGCAGCCTAACCTAAATCGGGAACATCCCTTTAGGACTCTCCCAGCCGTTAGCACGGTCAAGTGTCTAAAGCGAAAGAAGCTGCACGAACCTGACAGTATGCCTTGTAATAAGTATATAACCCTTTTTGCAAGGGTATTGGCACGGATCGTCAACTGGTAAACTGGCAAACAGTCTCGATGACTTCGTGGAATACCCGAATACCCACTGCTAACAGCTCACAAACTACAAGAAAACCGCTCGAAGCTGCAATCTGAACTAGAAGAGGATGCATTCTTCAAACCTTTAAAAGCGTTCAGAGCTGCTCAGTACGAGCTAACCCGGCGGATCGTCTAGCGAAAGTCACCAGCGTCCTGCCTGGCGACTGGGTTCAACCACGACGCCCACCCAAATCAGCCTAAGCAGGTATTTCCCTTCTAGATCCGGAAGCATTGCAAGTGATTACCAATGTCCAACGTCCACTGTAATGACAAGGCAAGAAACAAGCAGCTCGCGCCCGTGGGTTCAGGGTGCAGGGATGAAGTAGCATCGCTCCCGCAATCAGCCTGAAGTCCTTACCTTGAGTCTCACAGCTTGACCTTCAGAAAGGCCAACGACCAAAACCCGTGTTTACACCCGAACCTGGCACACCCAAGCCCAGGATCCACCGACCTGCTTAGAGAGGGGCAGTCTATAATAAGAACTAAACGTCTGAAGTAGCCGCGGTTTCTGAGGATGCAGCTGCATAATCATCGCTCCAGCCCGGCATCTCGCATCATCCTAGATCAGAACAGTACATATATATATACATACATATGTATATATATATGTATATCTGAACGCTTCTTGGAATCACCTTGTGTAAGTGAGTCTTGCAGGCGGGGGCGCCCTGCACATCTTGAGAGTTTTGCGGCTGAGGGGCTTCCGACTGTGACAGGGAGGATACTTGCCCTCAGTCTTTTTAAACCATGTAGCACGAAAGACTCCTCAAACCATGGCTCCTTTATGTGGATTAGGGTTTAGGGGTTTAGGGCTTAGGGGGGTTTAGGGTTTAGGGCGGAGTCTCTGGGTTGAGATGAACCGGCAGGCACAATCTGATTCTGGCGCATGTCCTTCAGTACGATGTCTAGTCGACATATCGTCAGCTACGAAAACAGCAGGAGTTACAGCAGGAGTTACAGGGAGCCGAAGCAACCTCTTTGATGCTCCGAAACAACTCGAGCATCCATACCGGCAGCTGATTTGTTTCCGAAAGGTTGAAAAGGTTGAACCGCTGTTCATGAACACACGGCTGGCTACATAAGTCGTCGCGGTTGCACGCAGGAAGCGTGCGACTTGAACGTGCATAACTGCCCGGGCAAAGACTCAGAGGGAACTTAAGGATGCAATCTTAAAGTCAATTCACTAGGTTCGTGTCCCGGTCCTTGTAATGGGCGAGATGCGCTCGCAGCAAGTGCAGGGAATGAACGGGTACTCCTGCGGTGCGCTTACATCACCCGTCTAGGGCTGTTCTTACCCACCCTGCAGAATCATCGGCCAACGTTCCTCGAGCAGGAGCTTCCAATCAGAACAGTCACTAGTCATTTGGCGAAGTTAGCATGGCAATCCTGATCCGTCACTGCCAACTACCACCACTACCAACTACTTAGCAACTACCTATGCTACCAGCACGACCACCATTGTCACCACCACCAACACGACCCACCACCACGACTAGGACCACGACCACTACACTAATACCACCACCGCTGCTGTTCGTCTAGACTGGTGTTCTAGCTGCGGCTTTCGGAGCCCCGGTTCGTCTCTCTCTCATCGTCCGTGCACAGGTGTCGGTAGGTGCATTGACTCTCCGGTCGGCGCACGTGTGAGTTGGCATTCAAAAAATACCGGAGACACCGAAACGGACTCACCAGCCAGTTGAGTCTGATACCGACCGGAATGGCGATCTGCGTAACTTCGACATGGTGAGCAGAACACCGACTGCTACCCGCCGTAACGAAAGCCCGGAAAGCACACCGACCTGCGAATGCTGAGCTGACAGTGACTGCGACGATCCGAACACCGACAGCGATTGGGGCGTTATGTTGGAAATACGCAAAGAGAACGACAGCAAAATACAACTCCATCCTTCCCGTCCGCCATCAACTTGGGCTTCTGTGGGACAACAGCCGCCTTCCTCGAACGGCCTCGATCAAGCACACCCAACTACAAGGCAGCCAGCATGAAAAGGCATGGAACAAGATCGGCATGCAGATGCAAACTAGCGAAACTGCCGCAATGGAAGGGAATCAACAAAGCCATGGCAGTGTTGTGCATGAGGGATGCTGGCGATGCTCTACACCAAACTCTGGCAACATCTGTGACCCAGAAAACTTCGTTCCTGCCTGCAGGACTGGATGGCTGCCTGGCGAAGGAGGCAGAAGGCGCCCGCTGCATTCCAATCATATAGGATGTTGGCAACTGCACTACAATAGAATATCAAGTAAGGCGCTTCTTTGTGAGATACCTTTTTGGATGAATCCGTTCGGTGACCGGTGACGACACAAGTTCTGCCTTCATCACCGTTATATGCTGCATTGCCAGTTGCTCTTGTGCACCTCTCTACAATTTATGGCTCGTGGCCAATTCCAATGGATTGGGATGCTGCTCAGACATCTCCTGTGAGTGACACCTCAAATGACCGGTCTACACCGACTACGAAGGGTCGCCAAAAGTGAGGCTTGTTTGAGACACCTGCAGTCAGAGCAGCTCACGCATTGAATGAATGCCATACCTAAACCCTAAACCCTGGACCCTGAACTCTAAACCCTAAACCCTAAGCCCCTAAACCCTACAGCCCTACAGTATTCAACCAGCTTCACTGGCCTTGAGCTGGGAGACGAACTGCCCCCCTCCGATGCCAATTCCTCGCACCGCCCGTGGGAACGTGGCTCTGGGAGGGTGTCGGGATCTTTCAGGGTTTAGGGTTGACGGTGTATCGCAGGGGACTCTAGCAGGCCTTTAGGGCTTTCAACTACGGGGTTTTGGGATGTCAGGATCGACGGTTCAGGATGTTTAGGGCTTCGCGGTGCGGGATAACCCCTGACTTGCAGGTATACCGCGTGCAGGATGTCATGTCTAGACAGAGATTGGCTTGAAAAGGTCGAAGTGTCACAAATATGAAGCTCGGCATGTCGCAGAGTTCTCGAGAAGCTTCGAGATGCGGGTCAACACCCGATGTTTAACACGTCACATCTTTCGCTCTTCTAACTACAGTAGTTGTCATGATTTCGACTTACACATGTATATTCACACACTGTGTATGTATGTATGTATGTATGTATGTATGTATGTATGTATGTATGTAAGTACTCACACAAAAGATAATTTACGTACGAAGATCTCGGCAAACCAAACCATCCTAGACGCTACAAAATCCTTCAGGCTGAGAAGCTTGAGGAATGAATCCAACTTACGCAACTCGATCTTCGGGCTTTGGGTTTGGACGTGGGGCTTAGGGTTGCGTCTGCAGGATTCTATTGAGGCTCAGGTTTCAGCCTTCTGAGCTGGAAAGACTCACAGCTTCTGCAGGCCTTCCAGGCCGTAATCCGATCCGCAAGATCCCTGCCAAGAGTCTGAGTCAGGGTGCTCCACGGGCTCAGGTTGTAGGTTTTTTGTTTTTGACACCCTTTTTGCCTAGCATTCAGGGTGGAGCGGTGGAGTTCTTAGAACCTAGGCCGCAGAGTTCAGTGATGCTCAGGGCCTGTTGTTCGCGCAGAAGTTGCTTGATTCACGGACTTGGGTTTTATGAGTCTATAATAAGCTTGCATATGATTGTAGTGAGGCTTTAAAGTTACTGAAGCTGAAATCTACCACATTCCAGCGCCTGCCCGTGCTCGCCCGTTCGCAATACCAAAATGCCAGCATCACAACAGTCTTCGGAGAGTGTTGGGCAGAGGCGTCGCATGCTCCGTTCCCACCACCCGATGATGCCGGCAGCTCCGTGTCTCGGGTGTGTTCGGGAAATTGCTTGTGGCATTGAGAAGACACGCCACTCAGAAGCTCCGACTCTCCCTGCAGCCCATTACTAACGTTACTAAAAACTTTCACTTCGGCTCAAGGCCTGTCCACAGGGCGACCAGTGGACCTTGCGATTCTTCTCTGCTGCAAGGAGGATCCCGGGCCAATCTACACAGAGCTGTTCTGGGACGGGACCGGACGTAAGAGGCTTGCGATGTAGGTCTATATCGGACGAAATATTTTCCATCCGAGCTCCCTGCGGCATGGAAGACCAGCGCTTTAGAAGCCTTCGGGCAGTTCAGATACGGGTAATACGGGTGATTGCTGAGGATATAGTTCAGAATGAAATCCGCCCGTGCTGATAAGGAGAAAACAGTTCTGCACGGAAAAGCCATGGTGCATGAAGAGAAAGGGTTAAGGTTTATTCTGAATCACAGTTGTGGATTGAGCAGCCGACAGCTCTGACGACGACAGTTGCTGCAAGCTTTCGGAATGCTGCAGCAGCATCGACTGCTGCTATAACAATGAACGACGAATGTGCAGGCAGCACGGCACATACTATCAATACGGTCAAGGTATCATGGTTCTGCGTCATGGCAGCACCGTGCGGCTTCCGACCATCACGGTCCAGTGGTGGCCGCATGCTGTGACTGCTACAGAGATATATATATATATACATGTATATATGTATATACACACGGCCCTTCCCAGGACTGGACATCAATGTTAAACAGGGGGTGCGTACTCGCATTGTTGGCCTACTCAAACTGAGGCAAGATTTCCTCCATCAACAGCAGCACGATAGCAGGAGTAGTAGCAGCAGCAAGGCAGTCGTAGCCGCAGCCACTGTAGCAACAATGGCAATTGGGAGTTGAGCAGTATGGTTGTGGTGATAGGGCTAGGAGATACAGCCCGACATTCATGATCTCGGAAGAGCATCATCAATCTGCAGCAACAGACATGCCTTTTCTTTACAGGTATCTGCAGCAGCGGCTTAGTGCGTGCTGAAGAGCGGCTACGAGTACCTTCTTGTGCAGAAGGTGACTTTAGGCTAAGCTGCATGCAATCATCCTGCTGGTTCTCAGGTGCAACAACGAAGAAAGAGCACGTGTCGAAGAGAAAACTTGTAAACTAGGCTAGGATCCAGGAGGACACAGCCAGGAAACTGAAATCCGCAGATTCCAAGTCGACTGCCCACTCTGCGACATGCTGTAGGCTCGACCATTGCTCTCTTGTCCCGCTGGCCGGCACACCGGACGGGAGATAAATCTACCAACGACTCACAAGAACGGGCTGCACACCATCGACTTTCCTGGCAAACGAAAAAACGAAATGCGAATTAAGTGCGGGCCTTCAGCTTAAAGGGCTTTTGCAAATAATACTGATCCCTGCGAAGCTATCCTCTGCCATCGCTAAGGCCGCCGAATTCTGCACGTGCCAGCCTTAGACATTCAGATGTTTTGGCGGACACTGGCTGATAGCACCCTGTTCCCTGATGAGATCATCTTTGGAGCTGGGTCTTCAAAGGTGTGGACTGATGCAAAAAGACTGGCCAGTACCTCCCTCTGCGGAGAGCAAATGCATGTACAAAAGAATGTTGGGAACTCAGCAGACGCACGGCATTCCGCCAGAGCCGCCTGCGTCTTCCAGAATTGAAAGTAAAGACAACGACTTCTGACTACGTCCTGACTCAACCTATGAGCAAGCCCTAATTCGGATCGAGCAGAAGCCCGGAGCTCATTGCAAGCTGCATCCGCACTTTGGCTGACCTGCACGCATGTCGTACATCAGAAAGGGATCTTCGCGCTGGGGTCTGGAAGAACAGCAACGTTACCCCAATCAACACCAGCGACAATAATCTTAGCAATGGCCAGCAGGGAAAGCTAATGGGCCATCCGAGCCTCTTCTGGGCTGTCACATGCGAAACAGGCAGTGGCGCAGGAAGCTTGACAGAAAAGAAGGACATACAACGACAAGCACCACAGCGACAGCACAACTTAGTACTCCACAACAGAAACGACGACAGCCACAACGTCCTCAACAACAACGACGACGACCAAAGAGCACCCACAAAATGGTTCCGGTTGCCCGGGACAAACATTGGTACAGACCGTGGTCTCAGCCCTCATAGCTACGATTCAAGAACATACTGATTTGGAAATTCATGTTGCTTCGAATCAACGTACATAGAATCATGAAGGCAACCACAAGGATCACAATACAAATGGGTAGCAACAACAACATCATCTGGGGCTAATGCGGCTAACGGAGCAAGCGAGAAACGAACAAGCACATAGCACCAGCGAAATGTTCACGCAATTGCAAACTGCAGACTTGCAGGCACATTACGACGTGTCACCGCTTGGGCCTGCTGCGAGGCCGTGGCGAGTCGGATGGCTGCAGAAAGCCTCCTTGGATCCCTGTGACGAAAGGAACTGAAACCTGGGCGTTCAGGCTTGTGAGTTTAGGATTACGAGCTGCTGGGATGACAAGGGAAGGGGCTGCTGGACCAGGGCCTGTTACAGAAAGGCTCCGGGACTCTCAAGATATGTACACGACGCCAAGTGGTGTAGTAGTGGTAGGGGGAATGATGGTCGCACTCTCAGGAGTATAACTGTCACAGTGGTAGTAGAGGAAGAAACAGCAGTGGTGGTGGCGGCGGCGGTGGTGGCGGTGGTGGTGGCGATGGTGGTGGTAGTAGTGGTAGGAGTAGTAGTAGTAGTAGTAGTAGTAGCAGTAGCAGTAGCAGTAGTAGTAGCAGTAGCAGTAGCAGTAGGAGTAGTAGTAGTAGTAGTAGGAGTAGCAGCAGCGGCAGCAGCAGCAGCAGTACAGCAGTGGCCGTAGCACCTGTAGTACTGGTTACAATCGGAACAGCAGCAGCAATAGTAGCCGCAGTGCCGATGTAGGTTGTAATTACTTGCCGGTGTGGGTGGAAAGCACATCACTTCAGTTGATCGAAGGAGCTGGCAGTGAAAAGGATGATGCTAACTATGTAGCCATGAGACTTTGAGCGGAGATTGTTGATGTGGTCGCTGCCGGCTTCCAGCGCTTCCTCTCGCTCCTGTCTGCTGGCTCGAAGCTCGAAGCAAATTCAAGAGCATCAGCTATTGGAATGTCCCATCGAGAAACACACTATGCCTGTATGTATGCCTGTATGTATGTATGTATGTATGTATGTATGCATGTATGTATGCATGTACTTATTTTATGTATGGGTGGGTGAATGTGTATGTATATATTTTCCTTGTACATATATATATATATATATGTGTGTGTGTGTGTGCGTGTGTGTGTGTGTGTGCGTCTGCATTTGCGTATGTATGCATGTATGTATGTATGCATGCATGCATGTATGCATGTATGTATGTTGCATACATAACTGCATGCACAGATAATTACGCACAATTCCCACTCAATTTCTCCACAGTGGTTACAAATAAGGCCTATGTACTTGCAAGTGCATCTTGATATCTACAAAACCACAGATGATACTTACTTGCACTCGGAAGAAGTGCGCACATGCCTACATTCTCTATATATCTGTACAGACATATATATATATAATATCTATACACACACACATGCGTATACCTATGTGTATGTCTGCATATAAATATATACTGTACATATATAGAGTAACATATGCATATAGTAATGTATAAACAGTACTATATGTGTGTGTGTATACATATATATATATATAGTTATGTATATATGTGCTCACACACACACAAAGGCATGTGTTGAACAATCTGAAGTATCATGAGCTGTCTTTTGTAAGCTAGCTGCCATGTTGCTGTGCTGGCATGTGGGCCCCCAACCGTGTGTCAAGGCAGTTTCAACAGGAGCTGGAAGCCGGATACTCGGACGTTTGGTACTCGCGACCATCCCCATCAACTAGCAAGTCGCCGCCCACAAAGAAAAACGAAACACCCTGCCTGTATCTCCTTTTCCTGTGCGGCAAACTCCTCCGTCACATCCTGTTCTCAGGGTGCCGGACAAGCCCTCCTCAACCCGACAGCCAACGAGCAAACCCAGGCTGAATAAAACAACGAAGCAGTAGCATCAGCATACAAGTTCAGACATGAGGATAAGAGCGTGAGAAGATGAAGAAGAGAAGAGACCTCACAAGAGGTCTCATGAAGGACAGGTTGGGTCAGAAAGACGGTTTGCCATTCATCATACTCTCACTCTCGGCTAACACAAGAAGGAAAAAACGTCTTTACCATTTGCTTTGTTCTCACTGCGGATTTGTTTATGTGTGCCTTCGTTTTGACTGTACGGTTTGCCCAGCGATCGGCGATCAAGGGTGGGCGGGCATATGAGCTTACTTCACGGATTGCGCTGAATGAAGAAGCTAACATCAGTCAACAGCCGACAACACCGAAAACAGACACAAATGGGAGCAGACCTAAAGCTGGTCGACGGACAACTCTGGGCAACTCTCGATCCTCCACTCCAAAGAATCCCTGCATTCTGTCGCCTGCACCTTTCGATCCGTCTCCTCGCGGACCTTTGCAGCTTCAAGCTGTGCCTCCGCAGAAAGGCTGAGATGCTGCGACAGATGTGGAGTCCCACCACAAAAGCTCCAGGAGGTAGGGTCAATGCAAAAGCCGCAGATACAACGAATTACTCTCGCCAGTTAGCCTCCGCGCTGAAAGCTGGATGCTTGGAGTATTCTTCTCAAAGACACTGACAGTGCAAGTTAAATTGTTACTATGGCGACTCTGATCCGGCTTTTGCCAGACATCACACTACGGCACTCTCGACACCCTACATTCGGAAGCTTTGTCCTAAGGCCGGGGTGGCCAAAAGGTGCGGTGCCTGCCCCGGTCCTTTTTTGTATCGCGCAATTCTATCACAAACCGATTAAAAGACCTCCAAAACAAAAAAACACGCTAAGTCGCACAAATCCCCGAGCTGGATCGTCATCATCCCTCGCTGTCCTGATGGATCCGGCCACGGAGAGTCTTCTCCCTCAGGACAGCAACTTTTCGGGGTTCTCCTCTTTTGGCTCATGCTTTTCTTAGCCTTCTGATTTTGGTATAATTATGACATATGATGGCATATCCTGTCCTCAGTGTGAGAACCGTCTGATTGTACCAGTCATCATGGGTGCCCTTCGATTCCCCGAGCGACTAGCACAGTGCGTCGCTTCTTATATTTATGAGAACTACGAGCACAATACCGATGAAGAAACCCGCAGATGTCGGAGTCATACCGGTGTGCCCCCAGAAACAGGAGCTAGGGGCACCCAAAGAATGTTGTCAACAAGATCCCCAGCCTCTAGTCTATTTTCGCTGTACAACTAAACAAGCAGATATGTTGTGTATTTTCATCGGTGTTTTGTCGCTATATATCCACGCACATATACATGCATACCTACATACTTTAAAATTAAGTCTGTATGTACGCACACATTCATGTGCATCTGCATGCACACATCACAGTCTATCAACGCTTCAAACCATGCTTACTCAGAACCATGTCCGTTGATGGACCACGTGATCGAACCACTTCCGTGGCTAATGTCGGTACTGCAACGTCACAGCTCGGTGCTGTCCGGGGATTGGGCTCCTCCATGTACTGTCGGATCGCCAACTCTGTCTCGTGCGCCTTCCGGTGAAGCCCGAAACCCCAGAACCCAGAACCCGGGGACCAAGCCACCTAAACGCCAGAACTCCGAACGCAACCCCTAAACCCTAAACCTTAAACCGAGCAGCTTCCATATCAGGGGAGTGGGACATTTCCTAGTGCTTTGGGGCCCAGGGAATCTCCATGGATAGAGTAAACTATCCTGTACATGGGTAGTTCTCTAAATTAGTGTCTCTGTGTGGGTCCCCAAAATAGTACAGCACCCTTGTAACAAAGAACCTTAAGCGGGATCCTAATTTAGAGAACTGCCCACATGCAGCGTCGAGGGAGTGGACACTCTTCGAGTCAACTCAAAATAAAACATGGCTCGTGACTGTCGGTAACTGTCGGTTGCGTGGGCTCATCGAGGATTGGGGCAAAATTAAAGCGTGCAAGGGGATCTGTGGCCTATGGGTTGGGCGTAGGATGAACTGGGAAATGTCCCCTCTCTAGCGATTTGACTCTTGCTCCAAGCATCCCAGCCTTCTCCTCCAGGGCTTGAAGTCGCTGGCGCAGGCCCTCCCATGAATGCAAGCTTGTGCTGCTGGCGAGACAGAGAAAGAGAAAGAGAGAGACGCAAAGAGACAAAATGGACAAAGAGTATAAGTATAATTATATAATAAGGATTGGGGGAATGACACCATGAACCCTAAACTCTGTAAAATACATCGCCAAGGGTTCAGCTGCGAGGAGGGTCTGGTTAAAAACGATGCTTTGAGTATACGAACCATGTCGAACGACTGCCTCAATACTGTGCTTGGCAGCGAACACAAAACCCATCGCAGGTTCGCCTGCTCAGGATCCAGAATCCCCGGCTAATAACGGCCCCAGGCCACGCACAAATCACCCAGATTCCATCATAACCCTAAACCCTGAATCCTAAACCCTGAACCCTAAACCCTGAATCCTAAACCCTGAACCCTAGACCCTGAATCCTAAACCCTGAACCCTAAACCCTGAACCGTATAGGCCCTAAACCCCTAAACCGGAATGCCTCAATCCTCGTTCAGTTTTTCAGGGCCTACCTTGTTCTCCTCGGTGTTGGCAATGATCTTCCCCTCGAGCACGCCCGCAGTGCGGCTGTGCTCGAGAAGGCGACCCTCCGAAACAGCAGGAAGTTTAGAGCTTAGGGGTTGGGGTTTAGGGTGGGTTCCTGGGTCTGGTGCGCCCTATGTAGAATCTGTAGAAGTAAACACGGAAGGAGACTAGCACGGCATGGGCCTGGCTTTGAGGGATTGGAGCTTCAGCAAACTGGACGACACTCGGGTGGCTTGTGGGCTGTCTTTCAGTACTCTAAAGAATATCATCTCGGTCATCTCCCAATCGGCACTAAGGCAACCTTTCTCTCAAGCTCGGAAATCCATATCCTGCATTGATGAAAGCCATGTACTTCCTCTTGAGAAGCAGGGCAGGCGAGGCCTTGTCATCGTCTTTGGTCTTCGTATGGGCTTGCCGCTCGGTGTCGAGCTGCTGTCTCATCTCCTGCTGTTGCATTACTGCCCGACTGGCGCTTCACTGAGTGTCTTGGAATCCAAATCACACAAGCAAATGTGTTTGTGGTAAGCTGTCACGCCACCGGCACACCTCGGCCATTCGAGAGTGCTCGTCGCGGATTTGATCCGTCTTGCTCCTGCAGACTGACGAAGAACGACAAGGCCTACCCGATGATGGAAAAAGCGTGCTGTTGAGCAAGCAGTCCTGAGGAGCGTCCTTTCATCGTCATGCTTGGAGCGAAGATCCTTTACGGCTCAACGCTGGATGGGTGGACTCGGAAACTGCCATCAAACTACCCTAGTACAGGCATTTGGTGTGCGAGTCCCGAGGCCTGCATTTTCCTGGAAGGAGTCTAGCCAAGTTCTGAAAGCAAGTAGCAGAGAGAATAGCCAAGAACACAGTCCGTGCCTGAACTCGCTGTTCATGCTCCTGCAAAGGAGCGGGCTCGGTGTCAGAAGTTCCGCACGGATTTCGTAGCACCGGGGCCGATGTCAATAGGAGGTGGACACAAAGGCCTACGTCAGCTTTGTTCTGCCAAAAGCTTGTCTCCTGCTGCAGACGAAGCTTCTCGTTGCCATGAGTCTCTCTCTCGTTGCCGAGCTCCAGCCTTCAGTGGTACTGTTTGTTCCAATTTATTTACGAATGCTCACCACTTCGCTAGGCCAGCCGACAGCAAAAGAGACATACAAAGAAATGTGCTGATACCTAGTTCGTTAAATCACAATATTAAAAAGCTCCGTGTGTCTTTTTCTGTGCATTTGTCCCTTCGGGGCTCGGAGGCGATCCAGGGTCTGCAAAGGCACTGCTTCACCGTTCCTGTTCCTGTGAATTCTGTGGGTCAGCGCCCAGGTACCGGAGGTTTTGGGATGTCAAAACCTTACAAGCCCTAGTACCAAGGTCCTTCTGGAGACCACGTGAGAGCAGTAGCTTGCAAGTTCAAGGGGCCGATTCAAGCATTCTAAGCCAAACCAAGGCCGATGCGTCGAGCGTGTCCAGGTCCTATAGGGCTCTAGAGCTTCAGAGCCTGTAGGCTCTATGGCTCCTTCGGCTTAGTCTGTCGAGATTGAGCCGCTCGCTTGATATCTTCGATATTGTGCTCGACCTTGCAAGCAGAGGTGCGATGGAGCAGGATACTGTGAAGACCAAGCATGCACCCAGGAAACTCTACGGCTTTCGCATCTTTGCAGCAGCTTTGCAGCACAATGGAGCTTAAGAATTGTTGTCGCACAGACGTATAGGCCCTCTCCTCAAAGACTTTGGCTGATGGCCCTTTTGACCGGATTTGTACATGGTCGTCCGAGAAACCAAGAGCAGTACAGCTGAAGCCCAAGCCTCTATAGGCCCTCAACCTCAATCAAACAGGTCGTGGATACTTCTTACGTGTAGCACATCGTATAGCACTACAGGCCTCCTCAAGGAGTTGCTTTAGCCGCTGCTGCTCGGCCAGCGCTGCGTCTGAGGCACTCGCGGCCTTAGCATGTGCCGGGGCTCATGAGTCAACTATTCTTCTTTTTCCCAGCTCTATCATTTTCATGGCGGGAGGGCAGACGGGACTGTCTGATGTAACTAGACCTGGCCAAGGGAATCTGCAATACATGCTCGGGCCGTGAAGGTGCGTCATGAGCCGTAAAGACAAGCCTGCATCATGCTTTATGACCACCCGAACCCGTCACGACACCCGTTGTAAGGTGCCCAAGTCCGTGGCAGCACGCTCCTCAGCAAAGCGCTCCGCATCCTCGCGGGCCTCGACGATGTTCTCTTAGCTTGGTTTGGGGCTCCGGAGCGGCTTGAGGAATCACCGACACCCTAAACCCAAGATAAAGACACTGCACTTCAAACTTTGGGGTTCATGTTGGCTTCGGCTCAGCAGCTTGCAGCCGCGAGCCTGTGAAGCTACGAAATCGCATGGGCAGATGCAAGCCCGGAGACAAGACATGCTCACGAGCTTGAGTTCACGGCAAGATCAGCGCGAGCCTGCAGCCGCCAGTACAAATCATTGAAAGCCCCAGAGACTTTGGATCTCAAGTGAAAGGTCCAACAACAAAACACCGTCACCAACTATAGTCGTCGCAACAACCGAAGCACGATTCTAGCTATGCTATGGTAACACCGAAATAACAGTAAAGGGTACATGCAGAGTAACAGTGGTGAGTAGCCTTTCAAGATCAACGACATAGAAGTGCTGCTACGATCTGCATCAAGGATGTGGCAGGAATCAAACCTCAGCTACTTTTCGCATGTTGAGTTGAAGGCAAAAAAGTTTTTGTGCAACAGGAGCTGCTGGTACAGAGGTGACCAAGAAGATATATGGTAGTACAAGTAGTACATCAGCACTTCTGCAACTGTCTGCCCGGGAGCCACAGCCCCTCAACTGAGGTTTGCTGCCTGCTCCAGCTCCTTCCGAAGAGAAGCTTCCGAGTCGCCAACAACCTGTGGTGCCACCGAAAGTGATCGGTTTACATCTCAGACCCTCCAATGATTAAGCTGAAGCCTGCCCGAAACGAGAAAGTTCTCGGAACGCCGAAACCCGAAACAGAAAACCCCATATATATATATATAATCATAATCATGTAACGGCCCACCACACCGCCCCGAGACCGCTGCACGCTGTTGCGCTCGCAGCTCCTGCTCTCGCAAGCGCGAGGCCTCCCGAGGTTTTGGTGATTCTGGTCGGTTTAGGGTTTAGGGTTTAGGGTTTAGGGTTGGTATCTCTCATCAGGGTCAGGACTTGCTATTACCACTACGAATGACAATGATTGCTTGAATATAACACATGAACCCCCCCCAAAAAAAAAATAAACAAGCAGCAGGGAAGCAGGGGTTCAGGAGTTGGGCGAGCTAAGGATTCTGCGGGGATGTGTGTCTTTGGGCCCAGGGCTTAGAATTGATGGGGCTCGGGGCATGGTTGAAGTACAGTTTGGCTTTGGAGAACAGAGAGTTACAGGCTTTGGGCATCCGAGCTGACGGGTTGAGGCTAAGTTGAAAGAGCCGGGAACAAGCGGTCACTTTGAGGCAGCCCCTGTGAAAGGGACAGAGGAGAACTTTGCCAGCTTACCGGGGATCAGATTCTGGAGAGGGGCTGCATGCGAAAGGTTGGTCAGATCTCAAAAGGAAAGAGTTCCGTCAGAATCGCGAGCATGTCTTGGACACACTAGAAGCTTATCCTCCAACATGTGTTAATCTCATGTTGTTGGCAACGTTCGTGCAGTTAAAGCCTGTACAAAATCTGCAGATCACCGTTCTCGCAAGCTGGTGGGCCAGCGCAAGATGTGTCAGTCCCTGAAGCTCTCCACGTAATTAGGCGGCTAAAGCTACTTCCGAAATCCGCGGCTAGATTCCGAAGCTGGAGCCCCAGCGCCGCCTCGAGGCTCTGCATAACCTCCTTCAGGCTCTCTCGCTGAGCATCCAACTGCGCCTGGACCCGAAGAAGATTCCCACGATACGAATCGGAAAATGGTTTCTGGAGCTGGTGGTAGTAGTAGTCGTCGTCCGCGGAGTTAGTTAGTAGTGGTGGTAGCACTAGTAGTGATTACTAGCAGTAGTACTACTGCTACTAGCACTGGTACGAGAACTGTCTTAGTAAGGGTAGCAGCAATAGTGAGCTGGAGGAGCAGGAGGAGGAGTAATTAGCAGGGCAGCAGTAGTAGCAGCAGTAGCAGTAGCAGCAGCAGCAGTAGGCGTAGTAGCAGTAGTAGTAGAAGAAGTAGTAGTAGTAGTAGTGGTAGTAGGAGGAGGTAGGTGGCAGGTAGTAGTCGTTGTTGTGGCTGTTGTACATTGGAGCACAGTAGAATCAGGTGTAGTCGTCGTAGCGGTAGTGCATCTACTTCTTCCACACTCCTGCAATTCGGGTTTCTGGAATTTCGCTGGAGGAGGTCCTAAATAATTACTGGTTGTTGACAGAAGGCGCAAAAACTCATCAGCAAATGTTGGGATTTGGAATCCGCTTCTACATAACTCTGACATCTCAAGATCAGTCCTCCGACAGACCTGGCCATCCACTTGCTTACACTCGCCATAAGTGCCACAGCATCCGAATTCATCTCCTGAGGTTGGACGATGTGTCAAACCCTGCCGTCACACGGATGATCAATATGCTCTGAATAATATTATAGGATGTTTATACGATTTGCTTTCGCCTAAAAGGTTGCAGTAGCTCTCGGCACTCGATCTGGTGGGAAAGTGTCGGCGCCTCTTGGCTCTCGACTTGTTGCGTCAGCTCATCACACTCCTGCACCAATAAGTTCGGTTGACAGATGTCAAGAAGATGGAACTCATAGTCGGCACTTGCTGCCCGATGGTCTCGGTATCGCAGGCTATGCGCCGCACTTTCCACTACACGGTGCTTCTCTTTGGCAACATGGTGCTATCCTACTGCGCAGCCCCTGCTGACTTCTTTTGGGTGGAGGTAGCACCTGTGCCTCACCCTCCCTCAGCCCCCGTCCTGCTCGACTTTGTCAGCCCTCACAAGTGCAGGCAGGAAGCACGTCACACGTACATAAGCCCGGTTCCACTTTCTGGAGGGCTTGGACTGCCGAGTGCTAATTGGGGGGTTTACGCTGGAATAAATGCGTGTTTCCCATACACATTCCGGAGTACACGAGCGTGCATTGCACTATGTTACCGTGAAGGCAAATGTATACCACAAAAAATGAAAACGCTAGTTCGTTCTTTTGTACTACGCAGACAATGCTCCGTGTGTTATGTTTTCGGATGAGCTTTGCTATGTCGTCCTCTGCTGTACATCACTGCTTGTTAACACGCTACCTAGTCTATTGCACGGATCGATTGTGTAGTACCGTCCGTGTGTTGATATTCAGCACTACTGTGTCGCTGATCTCTTCGGGAAGCCTCAAGGGCAGTCAAGGGCAGTAAGTATGCCATAAACGGCTTCGATAAGGCCATCTGGTCTGCTGGGGCTCATGGCTGCAAACAAGCGTGACTTTCGGAACCGCAGAAGTTAGTGCTGAGAGCTCAAGCTTTGTTTGCAGTTCAGGGATCTAGCAACTGAGTCGAGGCCCCCACATAACTTTAGAATACTATCTAATAAACAGTATAACTACTAGAAGATAGTATGATATATATATATGTATGTATACACATACATGATGTGTTACAGCTCACAGGCTAAGCAGTCTCAGGCATGGACCGCTCCACGGCCTCGTCCAAGGCTGCCTGAAAAAATCGTGCGGGAAGAGAAGAAGTAAGCGGAGTCCACCAAGTGGTACCAAAGCAAAAACCGAACGAGTCGCAATGATACGCAGACACAGACACAGAATATTCGGCTTATAATCAACACTGTTACTAAATGGTTTAAACCAAAAAAGTCGTCACGAAAACAAGAGCATTCTTGACAACTCTGAGAATACATGCTTGCGGATGTCATGCAGATACAGTCAGAGACACCCTTGCCTATTTCGGCTAATAATGCC